AACAACAACCAACAATCCCACGGCTAAACTCAACACCAGCAAGAATCACATCAATATTCTGTGTGTGGGCAGTGATGAGAATACTGAAAACAAACACAGAGAAACCAGCATAAACTGACAACAACACACCAGACCACACCACATTATATCCAACTACTAACTATTGTGCCTGACCCAGAACTCAGAGCAGATACAGCTCACAGTATTTGGTAATTAAGATTTATAAAATAAATGTTTACAAATATCAGAAAATGTGGAGGAAAATAATTTCATATATAAAAATACTGAGGGAAAACAAGAATCAACCAATGCAAAAACACAGTGTAACTCATCATAGAGAGTGTAATTCATCAAAAATAAAGAGCAAAACCTGATTTAAAACAAGCAAAACTCGCTGTAAAACAAGTCCAACCTGATGTAAATAACCTGTTAAACGAGTGTAACCCACTGCACAGCAAGTGAAACCCATCAGTGAACAGTGCTGAACTCACCAGCAGCTCCTCTGTGGCGTCTCCTCCAACAACACTGCAGATATCACCGAAGTTTGCAGCACAGACCTGACAAACACAAACACAGCTCTGAGATCAGTGTTCAGACTAACTCTGGATCAGCTCTGAGATCAGTGTTGAGACTAACTCTGGATCAGCTCTGAGATCAGTGTTCAGACTAACTCTGGATCAGCTCTGAGATCAGTGTTCAGACTAACTCTGGATCAGCTCTGAGATCAGTGTTGAGACTAACTCTGGATCAGCTCTGAGATCAGTGTTGAGACTAACTCTGGATCAGCTCTGAGATCAGTGTTCAGACTAACTCTGGATCAGCTCTGAGATCAGCGTTCAGACTAACTCTGGATCAGCTCTGAGATCAGCGTTCAGACTAACTCTGGATCAGCTCTGAGATCAGTGTTGAGACTAACTCTGGATCAGCTCTGAGATCAGTGTTGAGACTAACTCTGGATCAGCTCTGAGATCAGTGTTCAGACTAACTCTGGATCAGCTCTGAGATCAGTGTTGAGACTAACTCTGGATCAGCTCTGAGATCAGTGTTGAGACTAACTCTGGATCAGCTCTGAGATCAGTGTTCAGACTAACTCTGGATCAGCTCTGAGATCAGCGTTCAGACTAACTCTGGATCAGCTCTGAGATCAGCGTTCAGACTAACTCTGGATCAGCTCTGAGATCAGTGTTGAGACTAACTCTGGATCAGCTCTGAGATCAGTGTTCAGACTAACTCTGGATCAGCTCTGAGATCAGTGATCAGACTCTAGATCAGCTCTGAGATCAGTGTTCAGACTAACTCTAGATCAGCTCTGAGATCAGTGTTCAGACTAACTCTGGATCAGCTCTGAGATCAGTGTTCAGACTAACTCTGGATCAGCTCTGAGATCAGCGTTGAGACTAACTCTGGATCAGCTCTGAGATCAGCGTTCAGACTAACTCTGGATCAGCTCTGAGATCAGCGTTCAGACTAACTCTGGATCAGCTCTGAGATCAGCGTTCAGACTAACTCTGGATCAGCTCTGAGATCAGCGTTCAGACTAACTCTGGATCAGCTCTGAGATCAGCGTTCAGACTAACTCTGGATCAGCTCTGAGATCAGCGTTCAGACTAACTCTGGATCAGCTCTGAGATCAGTGTTGAGACTAACTCTGGATCAGCTCTGAGATCAGCATTCAGACTAACTCTAGATCAGCTCTGAGATCAGTGTTCAGACTAACTCTGGATCAGCTCTGAGATCAGTGTTCAGACTAACTCTGGATCAGCTCTGAGATCAGTGTTCAGACTAACTCTGGATCAGCTCTGAGATCAGTGATCAGACTCTAGATCAGCTCTGAGATCAGTGTTCAGACTAACTCTGGATCAGCTCTGAGATCAGTGTTCAGACTAACTCTGGATCAGCTCTGAGATCAGTGTTGAGACTAACTCTGGATCAGCTCTGAGATCAGTGTTCAGACTAACTCTGGATCAGCTCTGAGATCAGCGTTCAGACTAACTCTGGATCAGCTCTGAGATCAGTGTTGAGACTAACTCTGGATCAGCTCTGAGATCAGTGTTCAGACTAACTCTGGATCAGCTCTGAGATCAGTGATCAGACTCTAGATCAGCTCTGAGATCAGTGTTCAGACTAACTCTAGATCAGCTCTGAGATCAGTGTTCAGACTAACTCTAGATCAGCTCTGAGATCAGTGTTCAGACTAACTCTGGATCAGCTCTGAGATCAGTGTTCAGACTCTAGATCAGCTCTGAGATCAGTGTTCAGACTAACTCTGGATCAGCTCTGAGATCAGTGTTCAGACTAACTCTGGATCAGCTCTGAGATCAGTGTTCAGACTAACTCTGGATCAGCTCTGAGATCAGCGTTCAGACTAACTCTGGATCAGCTCTGAGATCAGTGTTGAGACTAACTCTGGATCAGCTCTGAGATCAGTGTTGAGACTAACTCTGGATCAGCTCTGAGATCAGCATTCAGACTAACTCTAGATCAGCTCTGAGATCAGTGTTCAGACTAACTCTAGATCAGCTCTGAGATCAGTGTTCAGACTAACTCTGGATCAGCTCTGAGATCAGTGTTCAGACTAACTCTGGATCAGCTCTGAGATCAGCGTTCAGACTAACTCTGGATCAGCTCTGAGATCAGTGTTCAGACTAACTCTGGATCAGCTCTGAGATCAGTGTTCAGACTAACTCTGGATCAGCTCTGAGATCAGTGTTGAGACTAACTCTGGATCAGCTCTGAGATCAGTGTTGAGACTAACTCTGGATCAGCTCTGAGATCAGTGTTGAGACTAACTCTGGATCAGCTCTGAGATCAGTGTTCAGACTAACTCTGGATCAGCTCTGAGATCAGTGATCAGACTCTAGATCAGCTCTGAGATCAGTGTTCAGACTAACTCTAGATCAGCTCTGAGATCAGTGTTCAGACTAACTCTGGATCAGCTCTGAGATCAGTGTTCAGACTCTGGAT